TGCGCCTCGTTTTGCACGCGTCATTTAGTATGTGTTAAGCTTACAGTATAACCTTTAAGGCGACAGAAATGACGTGCAGTGTTTTCAGGTTCCACTTACTGTCACGCGGTACATTGAAGTCGTAAGATTTGTTGCATCCCAGGGTTTTAATTTTGTGCTGAAATCTACTGTAATGTTTTTGACGTGAAACTGAAGCACGTCTAGCATTCAAAATCGCCCGGTGATTGACTCATTCTTGTCTGTCTGCATTCCTCCACCCGTTGTCATAGCTTTTTCTTTGTTTCTTTAGGACACTGTAGTGAAAGACAATTGCTTTCGTATTGGCTGTCGAAAAGAGAAAGGGGTTTTTAAAAATCGTGATACTCTGTTGCTCCTGTCCAACGACCAACCCTTTAAAGACTGTACCTGATATTACTGTGTAGCTTGCACTGAAGTGACAAGCTTCGGTACAATTCTCCCTCCGTATTATGACTGCCCGAAAATGATTGTACTCATTTTTACCATCATCTTAATAACAAATATATCGAAACATTCTACGTTAGTTCTTAAGGGCCATATTCTTCCATAACAAGGATTTAGTACAAACCTCTCTGGTCTCTTATGGCAGGCTGAAACAAATAGGGACCAACAACTGGTAAACTGTAATTGGACAAACCAGAGGACCTCATATTTATAAAATGTGGTATTTAGCTACCTTTAGTATACTGAAGCCTGCTTGCTGACAAAATATTGAACACCTTCTGAGGCTGATAATAGCGAAAGCCATGCTAAAGCTCTTTTCTGTCATCGTTCACAACTACTGCTGGACTTGAAAGTCGGCGAACGCGTGCGAAAGCATTTAAGTACTGTGATAAACGAATCATTCCTACGGATGTTGGTTAAACCGTATTTGAGGTGTGACTTTAAACGTTAGTCACACTCTGGTAAGTGTCTGCCACACAGTGGCGAATCACCGATTGCATTTGGCCGGGTTCTTTCTGTCTAATCTAATGGAGCAGTCCATTCCACTTGAATCGGGTGAGACTCGTGAAGAGAACTGATTGTCTGAAATGATGCTGACAACATCAAAGCTTATATCCGTGCTTGTTATTGTATTTCAGTGGACTTTGTGCTTAAATGACCGCTTGCGGTCCCCCAGTGATGAAGGGTTTCACCAGTTCTGCTAGGTTGTACTGGACTGAAACTCAGCCTCACCAGAAATTTTCTTCTAATATGTCATGCATATGATTCGTTGGACAAGCTCTGCCTCATCGGTTTGGTTCTTGCAAACGTTACTCTCAAGTTACCCGTTGTTTGATTTTCTTATTCCCCCATCATTTACTACGTTTCAGATAAATTTGGAGAATCTGGCATGTATATTTCTAATTGACGCGACTGAGGAATACTGTCAGCAACAGCTGGTTGAACGCGGTCAATCGGATGACTACTGGAAAGACTATCTTCCAGCTGCGATTGCAAATCGCATTTGCATGTTCAAGTTGCAAACCCTGCCGATGTGCAAAACCATCGACGCTGACGGTAAACTAAGGGTGGTGAGTAGTCCGATACCATTGTTGTGCAATTGTTCTTATTAGGTTGATGGTGAGATCAAACCGGAACACATTGCTCGGGATATGCGAACTGTTTGTGAATATGTACTATCCGGGAAAGTCACTGGTGGGTTATTACGGTGAATTCAGTTTGGTTTCTTTTCGTCATGTGTTGATCAGAATGAATATTTCTCAGTACGTTTTAGCTATGCTGAAAAAACGCAGTTTTGCATCTATCAGATGACTTGGATACATTTGTCTTTTTGTTTTCTGACACCAAAACCAATCGCGAAGCAGTATTTCGTTTAGTTCTGCACTCAAAGTTCTCTCTATACCAATCGAAACTCATGTAATTTGAATCGAAATTAGGAACCGCTTGACAAGTTTTAGGGGGCTAGGTACGTAATCGGAACAGATTTCGCAACTCCTACTGCACCATGAAGACACGGCAAAACCTCATTCTACAAACCGCTTGGGAAGAATGTTGCCCGTGAATAATGTTGCGAATTTTCTCCGTGTTTCTTAATACACGTCTGATGATTCTTTTATGTTGAGGAAGAAATCAAATGGATGGGAATGCGAGCACCGATTTCCTCAGAAGGCTACTATCAGTTGATCGTGAAGGCGTTTTAGCTGATAAAACAAGAATTCGGAGAAAACGATCAGAACAGCAACTATAGGGAGGCTGTTTCTTCCAGGGACTTCACTGTATAGGTCAACCAAAAAACTGAAAAATTATAACTTTTCTACCGTCTACAGACTGCACCCTAGCCCTTGATTCACTCATGGATGTCACCAAGTTAGCACCATGGATTTTTCTCGGTTTTTCCGTGGCAATTTATATGCGTCCTTCACTTTTCTGTTCATGATGTTTTTATTCCCTTCATCCATTGTCACGTTCGCTTAGGTCCCAGCAGCAAACCCACTCCGGGAAGCGTGCCTGATAGGCCCATGACAAAGATTGGCCACGGTATGATGGGGTGTCCAGGTCAACCTCCGGTGTTTAACATCCCGCGTATTGTACCAGCTTTCGCGGACAATGGCCGTGTTGAAGATTTACCCACGTGTCCCATCATTTTGCTATTTGGTAAGCACCTGTTTGCTTTTGTCCTGTTGTGTGCACACTTTACTAGGTGTTGTGGAGTTAAAAGGTTGGTATAGAAGCATTCAAGTACCCGCAGGATCGTCGCAGACGCTTCGTGAAAGCAAGTAAAGGGCTCCACAGAAACGACAACGCTTGGTACTTTAGTGCTTCATGGTATGTGGTGATTTAAATGTACAATGCAAAGATCAGATCGTTCGCCGAAACCGGTTCCTAAGTGAGGTATAACTATTAAGAAAGAAGGGGAACTCGAAGTTTGACATAACTACAGTGACAAGAAGTTTATTCAACAGTCAACTCTGATGACTTGGCTCCCTGCAGCAACTTTGAAAATGAGTGTTGTTCGAAAGTCGTGGAATGCTGTGGCAGGGGTAAATTTGCTCATTCAGGCTTCGATAGATAAAAGTCATGTTGCCGGGAGTTGCCGAAGTACCTCAGGGACTGTAGTATCTCAGTTCGCTCTAGGTCTCTAATAACCTTTGGCAGTCTGGTGGCTGGCTTTTAGAGCAGGTTGCGCCCGTTTGATCTCCCTTTGGCTAGGTGCGTCTAACTTGGATGGTCTACTTGCTATGTTATCGAACATCTGCAGTTAAAATTTAAAAAAATTCTGCCAGTGCAAATCTTCCGAACATTCGACGGCGTAGCCCAACGGTAATTCTTTATGATGGAAGCCTTTGCATGTTATATCGAATAGCTTGGACTGTTCCGTAGAGGCACATTGAGGTGGATTTCTTGGAAACGTCATAAAAATTTATTTTCCATGGAGCAGTCACAATTTCTGCAGTTACCAGGAGAACCTGAGCGAGAGCACCGATAAGCGACTTCAATCCTATCTTCGGTGTTTGTCCAAAAATCACGGTTGTGCCCCGTGAGGATTTGGAAGTAACTATGAAGGCTGGGTCGTTACTGGTCATGGAAAGTGACGAAAGATTTGGGACAGGCCCGTATTCCACTGGAATTGATCTTGCTATGGTTCTTCTAACTCAAGTTTTCTGAGTTATTTCCACAGAGGAAGGTACTGATCTATGCAAGCAACTATCCCCTCATTTCCCATCTCTGGAGCTTCTACAGGCGAGCGATCCAGTCTACATTGTCGAATGCCTGAGAATTTAGGTTCAGCTAGTTGGTAACCTAAGAACCTTTAACACACCTTAAGAACTGTTTGGCTGCAATCATAACCTTCCCACAGGGTCGGCTAGTTACGCTGGACTCACTAGTGATGGTGCATCATGATGCAACCTTGTGACACGTCTGCATCATCCGCTTTCATTACTGACTCATTCGGTGTGGTTCAAGGTGTAGTGTTGTGCCTTTACCTATAATCTGTTGACATGTATATAGAGAAGCTCGCAGTCTTGATAAGTCTTTCCTTTCCGCACAGAATTGTTGTAAAGAGCGGTGCGGGCAAAGACTTTGCTGATTGGGTACATTCATGGTGTTTAGTACACAATTACTTTCCGAACCTAATTTTTAGGAAATTTTCTTTGCGAACAAGGTGAACTTTGTTTTGGAAGCTCCCGCAACCACATCTCAATGCAACTTCTGGTGAACGGGTATATGAACACTCCTACCTATCGTTCCTAGCTAGCTCCGTCTGGAGACCGCAGTGCATCTATGTTGCTTGGGTAGGCTGCATAACATCAGGATTGGAGGACCTCAGTGGAGTAGGTGGGACCGGGAAGACTTATTCCAAAGGATATCCGGAACAGTTTGAATGCCTATTTCTCGGAGTGAATTTCTACGACATTGGCAACCGCTGTCAGGCGAATGGAGATCGTAGATTCCAGAATACCTAGGCGGATTCCTCTGTGGTTTATTAATGTGGGAAAGCGTTTTATTTTAGAAAGGTGGGGAACAACAAATAGCAAGGGTGGGATGTATCAGTTGACGTGGAACAGGCAGTGCGTTTTTCAATCACATGTGCTTCGTTCGACCTTAACTGACATCATGAACTTCCGTTTGTTTTATCCGCTAACATCCTTTTAAAGAAAATGTGACCTCCATATGAAGAATACTTCTTCGCTTGGTCCACAGTCTGCTCTTCTCTGGGAATATGCCAAATTCGTTTCAATTCCAATGGGCATTATTCAGTTAGGATACATAGATTGGTGCCTTTAGCTAGTTCACCAAAGCGACATGAAACGAAATACGGTTAAAAACATGACGTGTGTCAGTTATCGCAGAGTGGACTCGCATGGGATTTACAATCTAATCCACAAATGACCTACGGGGCTCTCTTGTATTAACTGTACGAAGGTTTTACGTCCTGAAGACGACGTAAAGGAGAGGAGGCCTCAATCTAAAGAGCACCTTCACAATAAACAATGTTTTATGACCTTAGGCAATTGGTTTAAACACGACTTATTCTGATTTTCATTTTGTGTTATGAAATTCAAAACAGCATGGTGAGGAGTCATCATTTGATTTGTTCAGAATAGCGTTTTTGGTTTTTGTTCGGTTGGCGTTGATCTGTTTCGCCGAGCTTGGCAATTGGCTTGCAAGCCAATTGCCAATAAACTCACCCGAGCTACCAATATTTCAACAAATTACCAGAATAGCGTTTTGTTAGAAGAACTCAGTCACAGCCTGCGATATATATACCCTGGTTCTATCATAATTCTGGTTCTTTATTCTCACACTCATCCGTTGGGTATCTGTCTAAATACATTCGGAAGAAGCCTTTCTAATTTCTTCCAAATTTACAATGCATTCATGCGCTGATTTTGTTCTGGGTATATTCCTCTAAGAAATGTCTATTTGCAAGACTGATTGAGTGGCAAGTTACCCCTCAGAATGGAAGGAGAATGCCCACCTGGGGTATACATCGAAATATAATTCTTCATAACATATCGAATCAAGCGAACATTTCGGTGTTTCGCCTAATTGTTTGTAAGACGTACTTTCACTTCACTTCAAAGACACGTTTCACGATCATTATTCCCTAACTGGTTGTAAATCTGACCAAACTGATCAGTCTTCCAGGCCACCGGTGGTATCTTAAACTACTGTTCAGCTGTGGCACCCTTATGGTGCATACGTGCCATGTGACCCGAAGAAAGCACAGGAACTCAGCTACAGCCAGGTTGCCCAAATCTCGGCAGGAGCAGTCGAGATGCAGGTTCTGGGTTCGAAACACGGACCTTCGGATCAGTAACCTCGTGCCTAAAGCCTTTTGTTTTATGTACTGGCTCAAATTTGAAGGTATCCTAAAAGTGGCTTGTGGGATGATAGTTGGTGATTCTACTCAGGAGATGAAGTCTGTAATTCACGCAACATATTTCACCAGGTTTGCATTGTTTGGCAATTTGGTACTGCAGACACCAGAGCTCTTTACTTGGTAATCAGTGTTGCACATACTACCCTATCCTTAAGTTCCAGGTACTCCTCTCCTCAAAGAACTCACCGAATGTCAACTTCCTCTGAATCGTATGAAACTGATGAACATGCTGTCACTTGTGACCCGTTTTACCATAGATTTCTGATGGAACAGGATGAATGGCACTGCTGATTTTCCTCACAGACTATGAACTTAGCTTCTGTTTATGAAATCCTACTCTGTCTGTCCACCAGCGCTCGCAGATCCTTAATTTGTTGCCTTGTCTTTTGGTTTCAAACGGTGACCAGAGGCCCTAGTGACTTAAACTTACCCTAAGCTGTTGTGAAACAGTAATAAAGTGAAGCTCCAGGTCATTCGATGCCTATTCCAAGGTTAAGTGCTCAACCAACATTGAAAGTAATCTTAGTGTGACCGAATTATTGTATACGTCAGTAGATGCATGCAGTCTCCCTATTTTTTTAATATTAACGCCCGTATAAGTAAGATTCATGACAGAATCATCCAAATAAACCATCTTGCCGAGCGAATGCAAGCCATAAAATTCCATCACTTCTTACTCGTCAATTCGGGAGTTACAAGCTTTTAAACACATTAAAATGTGTGAACTGTTCAAAATATTTCGGGGAAATCGCCATTACTCTACGTCCCATTTATGTTGTATCGCCTATCAGAAACTTGAGCTCTGGGAAAGTATGCACAAACTTGGCTTTTTAAAGGAGGTTTCGCGAATTCGGCGTTGGATCCTCTGGATATTCGTGGTTATGTCATTCAAGACGTCAGTGACTATTTTTTGGCTTAAATCCAAGTAATTGCATTTCTTAGGAGCCTAGGAACTGCAGATGGTGCATCAAACGTACTACGCTTTCGTATCCAACTTCGTATCCAATAGCCGTATTGAAACGTGAGAAGGCACCAGGACCGGACGGTCTGTATCCAGCCCTCTTTAAAGAAGGCGGAAAATCCCTGGTGACTCACCTGACGAAGCTTATTGATGCTATATGGGACGAAGAGAAAATGCCTACAGAATGGGGCATGTCGACGGTTATCCCCATCTTCAA